TACTGTAAATCAAACCACATAAATCAGCCCATGCTGGAACAAGTCTATATGAAAGTAAATTATTGCAAATCAACTGGGAATTACTAAAGAATTTCCATTTTATCCCAGAGGAAGAAGATTTGAGATTATTCCATTAATACATGTTACAATATAATACAGTAATACTAAAAATATTGTAATGATTGGAACATACTCGCTACCCCAAGAGCAATTTACTTTTCTGGAATTTTGGCTCATTCCAATCAAAGGGAACAATTTAGTCTGCAATAAGACAAGGAGCTAGAGAGAGGCTGCCAGCCCAGCTGTCTAGAAAGAATCCTTAATCAAATTTCAGAAAGTCTGAGGTCTTCCCCTCCTCTGGGAATACAAGAATAGATCTGACCTTGTAAACTGATCCTAATAATACAGTTGGTATCTGCCCAGTCACCACTGAAATGTGCAAGTGGACCATATTAATCTTTATCAACTATATTTAGCAGGGAATACACCAAGGTAAGAATTTTTGGTTTTGCTTGACATTTTTAATACGTTTTCTGCATAATTAGTTCTTTAGGTTCAGAACTATCATTTGAGAAGCATCTCAAACTGAGAAGTTTCCAGGATCTAAGGTGGGAACAAGTTCCTTTAGCTGTTGTTCTGTTGAAGATCTCCTGGGGTCCAAGTAACTTCAATCCAGTATTTTGTTCCATGCTTCCCTACACAAATCACCAGTTTTATGTTTAAATGTCTTATTTGGCAGAGGATTTTATGCAATTAAGCACTTTGTGTATGCAACTCAGACTCAGCACTTTGATGCTTTCCAGTCTTTTTCAAGCTGACATCAACTTCGCAGCTGCTTCACTAAGCATCTGCTTCATCCTTTAGTTAGACATCCTTGTTTCACTTCTTCACTTACAGAAATCCATGCAGGCAGCAGACATAACTCTCCCATTGCTTGACCACTAGAATTCCTGGTTTTGCCTTTTTCCTAGCATGGCAAATAATAGTTCTCACAGCACATTTGTTTCTGATTTGTCTGTATATCTTTCCTGAAGTTTATGTTTTAGTAATGTGAAAGCTGTATGTTTTTAGCCCTCTGATCACAAGATTTTGCCTCAGATAAAATGTGATGTGTCTTCCACTGAAGAAGGATGTGTGGCAAGAGTAGTTATAAACCAACTATACAAACAAATACACAAACAAACAAATCCTGCTACTTCCAGTATATATACATAGATTATGACAACAAGATTTCAGCCAATGCTATTTCTATTCTCTCTCCAGGGCATGGTCATAATAGGTATAGGTGTGTGTGTGTGTGTGTGTGTATGTGTACACACAGAGAGACCCAATTCATTGTTGGAATTTGTGGAAGCTATGAAATGGGAGGAGAAAGTATTTAATTATCGGAAATCATGGTGGCAATGATTTTCGGTAGTTAAAGACTTTATCCTCTGGTTGTGCAGCTCCCATAGGTTTTTGACAATTAAAGGGATGTTTTTTAAATGCCACTGCTGATGATACCTTCTGTCAACAGGATTGTGGCTATCATAGGAAAAAAGTACATACAATTCACCAGAATAGTCTTGTGAGCAGGATCCAGGGAATGGTAAGGTTTTTTTAAAAAATCCAGTATGGCTGTTTCTTTAAGGAAATATTCTGAAAATGTCCATAAACTGGGCTGTGCAATAGATCCAGAAATTATATTGCTTCTAGAAGTAATATTGTTGTTGTTTAGTCATTAAGTTGTGTCCAACTTTTCGTGACCCCATGAACCAGAGCACGCCAGGCCCTCCTGTCTTCCACTGCCTCCCGGAGTTTGGTCAAATTCATGTTGGTAGCTCTGATGACACTGTCCAATCATCTCATCCTCTGTCATCCCTGTCTTCTCTTGCCCTCACACTTTCCCAACATCAGAAGTAATATTACCAGAATTATATAAATAATTAAATAATAATGTTGCTTTAATTAATTCAAGTATTTGATTATTATTTCTGGTTGCCTTGTTTGAGCTGGAATCTGGGCTACATTCAGTTGCTGAATACTGATGTCCCATCAGTTATTTTAACTGGGCTTCTGCCCATGCAGATTTTTTGAGAGTAATAACCTGATCTGCCTTTTATTTTTTGGTTTGCTGTTTAGGTTGATATTAGCAGTTTTTTTAGTTCTGGCATTGTTTGCTCTTAGATCATACTTGAATTTACACCAGTGCTACATAGGAAGATTTAGAGACAACGCAGCATGGCTCATTGTTTGCAGAAAGGTGTTACAGTATTAGTTTCAAAAAGCCTGAGTAAGCACAGTTCCATTTGTGCTTCTATGGTGTCAAGTAAAAACATATTTGTGGTTCTGGTTGTGTTTATGCAACCTGTGCATATTTTTCCATCATAAAAGGAGAGCCATCTAAGCTGTATTGCATAGAGTCTGGCTCAGGGCTTCTGTACTACACTAGAAGAACAGGAAAAGGCATCTCTTCTGCTCTCAAAAGGGAGCTGTTGTGGATGTGTAGTACCAAGCTACAGTACTTCCAACTTATAGCAACCCTAACAAAGTTTTCGAAGTATGAGAGATACCCCAAGAATGGTTTACCATTGCTGCTCCCTGACCCTCATGAGTATCCATGGTTGAAAAAGGACCTGAACCCAGGTTTCCTAAGTCACAGTTCAACACTCTATTCTCTTCACTGCATTAGTTCTCAATGAACTTTGGTAATTGAACTCAAGGGATGAGCTCAAGGTTTTCTAGAAGCAGTTTTTCTTGTTTGGGCTATTTTTTACAAATAAGCTTAAAATTTATACGGTTGTGGCAGATTATTTGTACCATTTTAACTCTACTTTTCTAAGATGTACTGTTATTCGTGATCCATGAAAGAATACAAGTTACTATTGTTTTAGTAGGCATATGTGTCTTTCAGGGGAATTCTTCAGCACAGCCTTCTGTATCTCTCTATGGAAATGCTGCAGTATTACCGTGTCCTTGTCTAGAGGCTGCCATTGGGAACTCCCTGCATACTTTCTGGGCTGTAGTATGTAGAGGCATGGCTGTATGATCCCTGAGGATCTAGAAGATAATACAGCCATGCCACTATTGCACTATACAGTAGTATAGAATGAGAGTGATTTGAACCCCTAGATTCTAGGGAATGCCACACAGTCATGTTTTAACAAAGAAGAAAACTATCTTGCAGGCTGTTTGGCATGTTACACAAAAAGTTTGGAAAATTCTCTGTTGTAGATATATCCCAAAAGTTTTAATATAAAGATCCACAGATCATATTCTTCTTTCTCCCAATCATCGTACAATGCAATAGTTCAGTTACTAATATGCTTGCATTCCATGTTTTGGAGGCAACTTTATTTCTGGAAAAAAATATTTACAATTTTTTTCCTTCCCTCCAAATATCAATTTAATTTTCGCTTTACACTCCCAGCTCTTTGTGTCATATGACTATAAGCACACAGGGAAAACCAGGATTCAAGCACAGTACAGGAGTTCCCAAGACAACTTGGATCCCATTTCCATCAGGCAATTGGCAGAACTGTGGTTTCTAGTTTATTAAAATATACACTATACTGTATATGCATTGGAAGCAGATGTTTCTTTTGTCATTCCTTAAGCAAAAGCTGTGTAAGTGGGAAATCTAGGACAGATGCCAGCACCACACACCATTCTAAAAACCTGAACTATGGAGAATATTCACTGAAAATCTGAATAAGGTAGGCTGGGCTTTGAAAATCAGATTTAAATACAAATAATGTGAATAAACCGGCAATGTGGCAGAGCACTGAATGTACATTTGTTCTGTAGATTGTAACTTTGAAATTAAAACTGGCCAATGCGAGAACCTGAACTAGTCCGACTGGCTATCCTTCTACCTCCCCGTCTTAAACATCAAAACTACTTTTTGTTTGCTCATATTCATAGCAAGCAATAAAAAACAAAAGGTAAGTAAAAAATATAAAATTGTTTACATAATTTTAATGATATTTTCCTTAAGAGACATCTAGAATTTGCAAGTGTGTGGACCACAGCAAACTATGGCAAGTCCTTAAAGAAATGGGAGTGCCTGACCACCTTATCTATCTCCTGAGAAACCTATACAGTATGTGGGACAGGAAGCAACAGTTAGAACTGGATATGGAACAACTGATTGGTTCAAAATTGGAAAAGGAGTACGACAAGGCTGTATATTGTCCCCTGGCTTATTTAACTTATATGCACAATACATAATGTGAAAGGCTGGTCTGGATGAATCCCAAGCCGGAATTAAGATTGCCGGAAGAAATATCAGTAAACACAGATATGCAGATGATACCACTCTGTGGCAGAAAGTGAGGCCGAATTAAAGAACCTTGTAATGAGGGTGAAAGAGGAGAGTGCAAAAAAAATGGTCTGAAGCTCAACATCAAAAAAACTAAGATTATGGCCACTAGTCCCATCACCTCATGGCAATTAGAAGGGGAAGATATGAAGGCAGTGACAGATTTCACCTTCTTGGGCTCCATGATCACTGCAGATGGTGACAGCAGCCACGAAATTAAAAGACGCCTGGTTCTTGGGAGGAAAGCGATGACAAACCTAGACAGCATCTTAAAAAGCAGAGACATCACCTTGCCAACATAAGTCTGCATAGTCAAAGCTATGGTTTTTCCTGTAGCGATGTATGGAAGTGAGAGCTGGACCATAAAGAAAGCTGGTTTCTGAAGAACTGATGCTTTTGAATTGTAGTGCTGGAGGAGACTCTTGAGAGTCCCCTGGACTGCAAGGAGAACAAACCCATTCATTCTGAAGGAAATCAACCCTGAGTGCTCACTGGAAGGACAGATCCTGAAGCTGAGACTCCAGTACTTTGGCCATCTCATGAGAAGAGAAGACTCCCTGGAAAAGACCCTGATTTTGGGAAAGTGTGAAGGCAAGAGGAGAAGGGGATGACAGGACAAGATGGTTTGGACAATATCATCGAAGCTGCATAGGCATCCTTCAGTCTCGAGAGACTATGGTAACATGCTCTGAATCGAGGAATGTCCTCTCCAGAGCATGAAGTCTGGGTAAATTAATGTGGGTAAAGTAATACTGGATGACTCCCAAGCTGGAATTAAGATTGCCGGAAGAAATATCAACATGCGGTGGGGAGACAAAAAGAAAGCCCAGAAAAAAAAAC